CACGCATTTCTTGCATCATGGCCCCGTCCTTGGCCAACCCAAGAGGAAAATTGCCAGTCCTCAGATTTGAATGTGAATAGTGACAGCAAAACAATAAGTGAAAACGACGAGTGGAACACAGCTGTGACGGGCGTTTCCTTTTGCAAGAATGTCACGCTTCGAAGTTGAAACTGTGAAGCAATGCAATGAAATGATTTAATTTAGAGTTCAAGAATACGCTGTTCCGGCTGAAGGCTTCCAACAATCTAAGGAACAGCAGTGAACCGCACTCGAATCTATAGATTCTCTACAGAGACGTCACAAATTAGGTTCATTCGTTCAAATCCAAATTGTTCGTGCTGCGCAACCTCCGAAGTTTGGCCAACTGAGAAAGTCCAGCGCCACCTCCTGGAAGTTTTTCATTCAATCAAGACTTGGCAAATTATAGTTGGGCTGACGAGATCACGCCTTCGTTCGATGAAGCAGATCTCTTGGAGATGTGACAGCGGGAAGCTGCTCGTCGTCCTGCACAGTGACAGTTGGAAGCATATCAACCTGTATTACACGATAATATAAAAGATTCGAAACGTGTATAAATAATAATATACAAAAAAACATGGTAAAGTCAAAATCAATTTGAGCAATCATTGAGTCCTTGCACCCCGTTTGTCGTCATCTCTGCTGCGCTTGCGCTCGAGGAAGCCTGAGAGCAATCGTACTCGACGTTTGAATCACTGTATATAGGCTCAAAGTCACAGAGTTCAATTCTTTAGCTTTAATATAAGCTCAACTACTTAACCGTAACTGTCGCTTGCGCCTCCCCAACCGTTGCAACTGTCAACGTTGAAGAAGTCATAGTCAGTGCGGAAGCCTTGACAGTTTCGAACCAAAACCTAAATAGTTAGGTTTGCAGAAGAATGCGAGGCCCTAAGAACTACAATTAGTCTCACTAACTTCTGAACGCGAGGAGTGATAACTCGGGATTGACAACAGTGACACTGAGCAAACAATCACGTCGAAAACCAATATATAAGCCCAATAATAACTATAATCTCAGTAGCTGCTTCTGAATGTGAGGCTGTGGCCGGACCAACATCGGGATCGATAACGATGACCTGCACAAATCTGTTCAACGTCACTCCGGAATCGGTTCAAATGAGTGGCACGCCTCACCAGGACCAGCGGAAGCAT